TGTCACTTGTGCCAATGCACACATAACACTCCCTTTCCACATTGTTTCCCGTGGCTTTTCAAGTTCAAAAGCTCTCTTAAGTTGCTTAGAAAGATCCTACTTGATGTAAAAGCAGTAGGTGCCTACTTTCTCTTTATTTCATGCGTGAGGTAAGTTTGGTGCACCGAGACAGTTCCAAATATGCTTTATGTGGAATTGAAAGCAAGCCAAGCGTGATTTTACCCATGAAAGCTTCTTACTCAGCAAACTTAACGTGATAAACCAACAGGCTCTCCGCTGTGTTTTCAAGTGTGTTTTGATCTGTATCCCTCCTACAGGGTTTTAAACATGGGAAATTGCTATATATGAAGTTTAACGGACTTTGAAATTTAAAACCGAGGTCTCTCTTTTAAGAGAACTCTGATGTGTTCCCTGAAGAAGGTATTTTTATGCATAAAACTTGCCTCGAAACCTGGTGTTCCTGTGCATGAACAGTAGAGCTCTGAGTATATTCACACCCAGAAATGCCTAATTCTCCGCTGGGTCAACATACATTATTTGTATGTCTTGATATTGAGCACATTTCCCTTCTAAACCCTCTTAGCTTTTTTTTTTTTTTTTTTCCCAGATACTTGCAACTTAATATATATAAAGGAAAAACTATTTACCTCTGAATCCTGTGCTGGTGGCTTTCTGGTTTATCCTTTTCAGAGGAACTCCTGAGGTTAAGCTTCAGTGCAACCTGAGAAACTTTTTTCTGAATATCTCCCAAAGTAACACGTCCTGAGTGACTTTTCCATGAAGGCTTTTCTTCATTCCTTCTGCTTCCAATTCTCCTGTAGTTGTCCGAGTGTTCAGGAGCGGGCAGTGCGAGAGAGAAACTTCTGCCAGCGCAGTAGACAAGGCAAATTGATTGCTTTCTGCGTGGGGAATCTGGTTCTGCCTGTTTGAAACCCAGCCTTGCCGAGGGGTGGATCCACTGCTGCCACTGCCCAGCAGCAGGAAGTGCCTTGGGAGCTGCTCCTTGGGTAGAGAGGCCTTGGGAGCTGGAGGTGGAGCACAAGTGTGAGTGCAGGGCTTGCTTTCTTCTACACCACAAGGGGAAAAAGAAGCAAGGTTAGGTGGATCCAATAGGAGATGGAAAACAAACCCCAGCCAAGTGTCTTAAAAATGTTTTAACTCCATTTCGGAGTTTGACCTAAAGCTTGAGGTGCTCAGGAGATGCATGACCTGAGCAAAACCACTTCACTCCCTGGGGAGCATGAGGGGGAGGCAGCTCTTTGGATGTTCTGCTTTTCCAGACAGAGCACCTTAGCCATCTTTTTGGAATGCTCATTCCGTGTTGCTGCAGAGAAGATGGAAACCACTTGAGCAGAAAGACAAAGGTGACACCTTTCAAGGTATCAGAGGGTAAAAATCAGCAGTCACTGCAGGCTGTAGGACTTGAGTTGATGCTGACACTGAGCTGTGCAGCTCAGCAGCATTTCCTTCTGCCTCAGCTGTGCCTTGCAGAGTGTGCAGTCCAAGAGCCCAGCCCAGAGCACAGTTATTTAATCTTCAGGGCAGAAAGGAATAGGCTGTGGCAACAAACACTGCTCAGAAATATTTTCTTCACTTAGGTCTGGGTGAGTTGACAGCACTGCTGAGCAATGCTTGTGGAGACTGGAGGGCAGCACAGTAGGATTTTCAGACTGGAACAAAGAGATGTTAAGTGGTGGGGAAAAAAGTGGAGATAATTTTTTCCCTGGTTTATCCTGTTTCCTGGATAAATACTGAGAGGACACTTCATGTTCTGGCTGGTTGGTGGGAAGAAAGAGTGACACAAACATCTTGAAAATATCCCAGGCCCTGTATATGGATTGACAGGGAATCTCTGCATCCAAAGTGCCACTTGGAGAAGTGGGAACAAGTTATCAGAGGAGGGGCAGGGAGAAGAACCTTATGCTCTTTTTAGCTCTGCAGGCAAGTCAGTCAAGTTGTGATTATCAGGGGGATGTAGGGATTGTATCCCCAGGATGA